GAAAAATCCCTGTGCAGCCATGCAGATGAGATTTGACTTAAAGTGAAATTCTGTCATGAATTTTCTATTAAGTATCTTACCCCTTAAGAGAGACAAATGGACTCATGAAAGAATTGAGGAAGGACATGAAACTACATATCATAGTAACCACAAAGCTGGCCAGTGCGTCATTGGGCCAGGAGCCAACGATGGGAACCAGTGGGCTGAATAATCCAGGAAGGATTTTCTGGAAAAGAACAATGAGCTGGGCCTTAAAGAGTAGTCAGATTGGGCATCTGCTGTGAGGAGGAGGCTGGAGAAGCAGTGCTGCTTTGCTCAGAAAAGCTCAGTTGCTGCCCAGGCCTACCACCTGCACCAAACAGGGCATTCCAGACTCCACACGGGCTGGCTCCACTGCTGCCCCTCATGGCCACCCTGTACATCCCTCTGAGACCCTCCTCAACAGCCACGGTGATCAGTTTGCTCTCTGGACCTGCCAGGTGGACTCAGACTGGCTCATGAAGGCCTTCATCCACTTCTCTGTCTACACCCTTCAGTGTCGCTCCTCCAGTCCTTGCCCCTACCCATATTAAGCATTCTTTCCCTTGTTCCCTCTGAGCTCTGTCCCATTTGCTTCGTTTTTCTTGTTTCTGCCTTTCCTTAGGGTCCCACATGGCCAGTCCTGACTCACTGAACAGTAGGTACCTCAACCACGGCTTACTCCTCCCTGTGGGCCACTGGCCATGTACATGGCTGGGGTTTGGCAAATGCTGAGTGACTGGACAAATGAGTGGTCAAACAGAGATGTGGCTGCTTAGGAAGGGGAGACCTTGCTAAGGGGACCACGGACTCCTGGCACAAGACTCTGGGCATGACCCAGTCTTCAGGCTGGATATCTAGGCCAGTCTGTGCCAGTCAAGCCTTCCACAGCATAGCAGACAGCAGGCCGAACCCTGAACAAGCACTTGCAGTGACAGCAGGCTGAGCAACCGCAGCTCGACCATGTTGCCAAAGCAGAGTGGGAAGGTTGTGGGCTGTGCAGCTTGACTGCCCTGAGCTCGGTTCCCAGCTCTGCTATCCCCAGCTGTGTGGTCTCATGCAAGCCACTGAACCCCTCTGAGCCTTTTATAAAAGGGGTGCAATACTATCTCTTTTTTAAGGTTGTAAGGATGAGAGAGAATACACAAAAACAACAACAACAACAAAAAAAAAACATACCCCATTTATAAAATGCAACTGATGAATGGTAGCTAATTTTCTTTTTATGACTTATGTTTACTTATTATATATGATGGGAAGAGACTTTACCCAGAGTTCAAAGTTCTAAGAAATGAGATTTGAGCTTAAACCTAACACCGTCGTAATTACAGTGAGCTTATTATGGGACTCATTAACAAGGTCTCATATGAAGATGAGGTACCAAAGTCGTTCAAGGTCAGAGGATACATCCCATGGATACTGCTCACAAGTGAGACACTCACTAGCCCAAGGGGCCTGTGCAGAGCTGCGGAAGGCTGCAGACGCTGGCCTGCAAGAGATGACCCAGAAACAGAGCTCAGGGACAGCGTACACCTGTCTTGGTCCTAATTCTGGAAGCAGGCAGGGGTAGGAACAGAGAATCCCAGGTCCCTGCCATCTTGTGTTCAGAACCCAGGTTGTTACTGTCTGTTGCTGGGAGGTCCAGCCCGAGTGTTAGGCGTCCACCTAACAGGACTTGGGCTCTGAAAGTTTGAAGAAGGTAATGGTAGCTAGAACCTGGATGTTCCCTGGGCCGGCCTGGGTCTGTGTACAGAGCTGAAATGGTTCAGAAGTCAGATCACAACTGACCACTTAAAGAAGGTAGAAAAGAGGGCCAGCAGGTGACATGGTTGTTGTGGTGATGGACTCCCACCTGGCTGACTGTGTTTCGAGTCCTGAATCTGGCGGCTTGCTTTCTCACTTCCTCACTTTCCCTTTTTCTCTCTCTCTCAAAAGTATGTGTGCCCTGTAGCAAATTAGAAGATGATAATAATGATAAATAGAATTAAATAAAGAATTATTATGTTTTTTAAAAGGCGGAGAAGGGAGGAGGAGGTTAAAAGCAGGAGCCAAGAGTGGCCTGGATGCCAGGGTTGGTAGATGCTAGAGGGACTCAGGAGAGGGTTAGTCCTCATCCTGAATTCTGTCTTCCTCCTCATTTCTCCATCACCGTAGGTGGCACTGTCTCCCAAGCCTGCCCTGTATCACCCTGGTCCCCTCCCTGACTCTTATCTCTCCAGCTTATCTATTTTTAAGTCTTTTCCATTCTCTCTAGTGACTCAGTGCCCTCGTCCCTGTCCCCACTGCAGCCTCCTGGTTCAGGGCTCGCTCCCCTGGCTCACTCCACCACCCCCTGCCTGCCACTGACCTCCGCTCTCCCCTTGTCTACCATTCACACGGCTGCCAAAGTTTTCTTCCCAGGACCAATCTGGCCATATTTGTCCTTGGCTTGAAATCAAGAATGGTCCATGCCTTTCACATGCTGCCAGGACCTCTGTGATCTGTCCAGCCTCTTGGCCCGACTCCTTCAAATGTGAACTCAGCCACCTACACAGTCGCAGGTTCCCATGAGTCTCTGTGTGTGCTACTCAGTCTACCTAGAATTATTCCCCCTTCTCCTGGCAATGCAACCTCTCTGGCCCTACTCTAGAAACTCCTTCCTGAGTCCCAGGCTGGGGTGGGAGCCCCCCTCCATGCTCCCCATTCCCTCCTGCTTCCTCTTGTCCTGAAGGAGCCTCAATCCCGCTGCCTCACACACCCTGAGCTCGGAGCCTACAGCACTCAGCATCCTGTCAGGCTGGTCATAAACAGGAAAGTTCAGGAAACAACTTGTGCATGAATGACTGGGTGAGGGTGGGCAATGAGGCAATTTGGTTGGGGAGAGATGATGGTGTCCGGGGACACTGAGTCTGTTATTTAGGGGCCACGTAGGTGGAGGCCCAGGCTGCACTGGGATGGTGAGCATGAAGCTTAAGGAAGACTCTCTTAAGAGACAGTGGTCTCGGAGGTCAGTAAGTGGTGTGGTGGTGAGGCACTGGATTTCCATGTGGCCGGCCACAGTTCAAGTCCCAAATCATGGGTATGTGTATGTGCCAGAGAGGAGAATGGAGGAGAAGGGATTACGGTGTGGCCATCTCCCTGTGGGGAGTGATTTCTCACCTTCCCTCTCTCTGTCTCTTTCTTGTGAATTCATGCACCCTATGGGGAAAAAAAAAAAAAAAGAGACCGTGATCTCTCTCTTCACAGTTACCATCTACTCTAGAGAAGTGCAGAGATGAGGTCAAATGACAGAAAGTAACTCAGTGTTACCAAAAGGCTCTACCAAGTCAGAGAACACCTGAGCTAAAGGACATTATGAGGACCTTGTCTGGCCTAGTTTTTTTACTTTACAAATGAGGGAACTAAGGATCGGGGTGGAGAGGCCCACACTACGGATGTCAGAGGGAGCCTTGGGGCTAGAAGCCAGATCTCCATTACAGTCCAAGGTCTCTTACTGTCCCTGTGGGCTCCTATTTGGGGACTCATCTCTGAGCCCTGGAGGAGGGAGTCATCAGTGAGAGTGTGAGAAGGCCCTGGAAAACACAAACATCTCAGACACTCATACACTAACTTCTCTCTCACAGATAGCTTCTTATGCCCCAAATGAGAACCAGCCGGACACTAAGCTCGGGCGTTGAATCTCGTGCACTTAGCGAACAGGAGGGACCTTTGTAGCCTCCATTAACAGCTACACTTCTTACCCTGCTGTGAACATTGTCAGCCGCCTCTCTCCAGCCCTTTGAAAGATTAAAAGGAGCTGGTTAGAAACCATGAGAGGGAATGCCGTGAACTGACACAGAGAGTCTTCCAGCGTAAGGGCCAACGGCCATTGACACCGAAGCAAGTGGACTCTCCTACGCAGTCATAGCCCACGCGAGGCCTTGTTGTGGTATCCAAATTCTGTTCAGTTCATTTTCTTCCCTTGGGGCTGGCAGGTGGTGCGGCAGTTGAGGCATTGGACTCCCACATGGCAGACCACAGTTCTAGTCCCTGACCTGGCAGCTTGCTCTGTCTCTCTCTCCGGTAAAATTAAAGAACAATAATAATAATAATAAATAAAATAAATAATTATTTTTAAAAATATTTGTTTGCAGATGGCATAATGTTTATGTCACTGAATGGCCAACCATGGTTTGAGTCCCAGACCTAGAGGCTTGAAATTAACGCCAGGCACATGTGCATGAGTGCCCCAAATCCCAAGAGGAGACTGGACAAGAAGGGATTGCAATGTGGCCATCCCCCCCTCCGGGGAAGTGATTTCTTGCTTTCTCTCTCTCTCTTCTCTCTCTGTCTCTCCAGCAAGCGCATGTGCCCTATGGCAAAAATCTCTCCAAAAAATTTGTTTCCTTAAGATCTGTATTCCGTCATTTCACAAGGTTTTTCATCTGAAGTGATTAAGACTGATCAAGTTCTAGCACTGTAAGAGGCAGGCCCTCTGCTACTCGAAGGAGGATGTGTCGTTAAGGATTCTGGACAACAAAGCTTCTTCATTATGAATAAGGCAGAGGGAATCAGCATTTGTTGATAAGCCAGATTCACCAGGCGGTATACCAGGAGTGCTGTTTTATTAACTTCATCGCCTCTGAGCTCACCCTCTGAGGGCATTTGATATTTGTTACACTCACACATGACGGGACGGGTTGGGTTTTCTCAGCCTCACTTTAGAGACCGGAGAAACAAGCCCGACTATTGTAGATTATTGTAGAATAGCCTGTCCATGACCACACAGTGTGGAGCGGGGAGCCTGAGCTCTTTCTCCAAGTCACTATGACTGGCCACAACCTGGGTCACCTCTGCAAGAAGGAAACCTTGCACCTTCCCAAGGGCAGGGTGCAGACCCTCTCCAGCACCCGTGGTCCTGCCGGGAGTACATAGGGAGCGCTGGTTCTCCCAGCCCCGAGTCGAGTCGGAGCGCTGTGCCGGTGTGTGGTGTTCACAGCACTGACGCTCTCTCTGACTAACAGGAATGAATTCAGAGCGTGGACAGACATCAAGCCTGTGAAGCCCATAAAGGCCAAGCCCCAGTACAAGCCCCCAGATGATAAGATGGTGCATGAGACCAGCTACAGTGCCCAGTTCAAAGGGGAGACCAACAAGCCCACGGCAGCTGACAATAAGGTCACTGACCGCAGAAGAATACGCAGCCTCTACAGTGAGCCTTTCAAGGAACCCCCAAAGGTGAGACGCATCTGGTGGGGATCGGTCAGCCTGGCCTGGCAGGGGGTAGAGCTGCTGCCAACTCTGGCTCAGCCCCAAAGACCCCTGAAAATTCCCTTTCTGCTTTTTGTTTGTTTGTTTGTTTTCACTGCCAGAGGCCACATGCACGCACCAGAGAGAAACAGAGAAAGAGGGTGAGAAGGCACCCCTCAGTGGGGCATGGTCACCACCACAATCCCTTCTTCATTCTTCCATCCTGTCAGGATTTGGGGCACACACATACCCACACCTGGGCTGGGATTTGAACCATAATTGCTGTATGAGCTCCAGCTCCTTTAACTACTAGAGTATGGGGCTGGCTATCCCCCCGTTCCTTTTTAGCACATTGAGACCCAGGGGCATCTTCAGTAGGAGGCTTTGTTAAATTCAAAGGGAGCATTAAAAAGAAACAGTATCTAAAGCATAAAATCAGATTAATGGCTGGCAGATTTCCAGAGAACTGCCTTCTGATTTTGAAAAATCTAGGGGGAAAAATGGCAGGAAAAAAAAAAAAAAAAAAAACTCACCTAAGTCCTAAATCCCCTTGTCTTAAAATAGCTATGTGTCTGCCCCCAAAGGGCTGGCCCAGTACTGCCGGCCTCTGTGCCTGCTGTCCTTCCTGCTGTCCCTGAAAAGACCAGCCTGCTCTCATTCTCCTCTTGGGAAACACCAGCCACCAATTCTCAGACTGTCAGAACACACTCGAGGTGTGTTCCCAGCGATCCATCACTCTAATAAACCACTCACAAAAGTGGGTTTGGGGAGTGTCCTATTAGAACACTATCTCGCCTCACCTGCCAAGAACCTGAATAGCTCTGGAGCCTATGTACCGTTTCTCTGCTTTTGTCCGACAGTCTTGCCGACCCAGGACTAGTTTATAGTTAAGATAACTAACCAACCTAGTTTGCTCGGAAGGTTTCCAGTTAGCAAGGTAAGTTCCATGTTCTAGGTGCCTCTAGTTCCAGACAAACCAGGATGACCAGTTGTCTTACAGCTCAGGGGGCTGGAAACCACCGGGCCTTGGCAATGAATGAGCCACAAGTGAGGCCCAGTGTCAGCTTCGTCCACCCACAGACAAGGTGGGACCCAGAACAAGGGCTGAAAGACACGAGGGGAGGGAAGGAGATGAAGGGGGAATACATCTGGAATGGTGGGTGGGGGCTTATTGAGGGGTCATGCCCATAGGCTCCAGAGTTTCTGAGAAAGAGGAGGCAAGGCCAGCTCCTGAGAATGAGGGGACAGGGCTAGAGGAAGGGGCCTGGGCTTGGGACAGCCACTCTAAGGAAATTGCTGGAGGGAGCCATGCAGAGATAAGGAGCAGGTGGCGGGATGTGCTGGGGCTTGCTGAGACTGGAGCTCTCCCAGCCAAAACTTCTCAGTGAGGACACTTCATGTGAATTCACCGTGCTACTCACCATCCCAGAAACAGGGCAGGGACAGGCCATCTTATTGCAATAACAAGCCACCCAGACTACACCTAGGACCAGCAAAGGCTTGCATCTGATTGGCACATGCTGCCTGGGTTGACCGCAGCTCCTCATCACTGCTTCAGTCGGGCACTGCGGGTGCTGAGCAATCTCTGTGTGCAAGAAAAGAGCATGGGCTGACCCTGAGCCTCCCCCTGGAGGTGACCCACAGCGCCTCTCACATTACTTTGACTTAAGCAAATCGCATGCCTTTGTCTGAGTCAGACAAGGTAATAAAGTATCAAGGTATCATCTTCCCACAGGATGGAGCAGCAGAGGGTGCAGATGGAGTTACAGTCCAGCCTGGGTGGTCCGGGGGGCAGGGCAAGGGACCATGTGGCTGGAGAGTGTTGCGGGAATGACTCAGCAGGGAGTTGAGGCGGGAGAAGCCAAATGCCCGCGTGTCCCTGCAACCACTTTATACGGCGCATGCTCCGTCCGTGTCCGACTTTGTCGTTGCCGCCACCCTTTAATTAATGTCTTGTCTCTAAACTCTCTCACCCCCTCCCCTTCTGTGTTTCTGTATTTGCGGTGTGTCTGTCTGTCTCTCTGAGCAGGTGGAGAAACCTAGTGTTCACAGTTCTAAACCAAAAAAGACCTCCACGAGCCACAAGCCCCCGAGGAAGGCCAAAGACAAGCAGGTGGTGTCAGGCCAGACCGCCAAGAAAAAGAGTGCAGAGGGCCCCCGTGCCGCCAAACCTGACGAAAAGGAGCAAAGTAAAGAGATGAACAATAAACTGGCTGAGGCGAAAGAGTAAATTTCACTGCACTTTCCTTTTATTCTCCCCTCCCCTCTTTTTTAACCAACAAACAAAAAAAGGCCACAAAATTAATTAGAGGCTTCTCATCTGCCTCGGTCCTCAGTGTTCCAGGAGCTCTTTGGTTTGGTTTTGTTCACGGAGGACTGAGTGGCATGCCTCCTCCCGTGGCCCCTGGAACACCGGAAGCGACGCTCCCCCTCCTGGTCCGGGCGGCTGCTGCATGCGTATGGGAAGGCAGGCTGCCTCCCAGGGCTGCAGGCAGGTCTCCTGGCAGTGCTTGGAGTGTCCCAGGGCCACCTCCTCCCACCTTCCCTGAGGCCTGTGTCCCTGGTTAATTTTGAACGTTAGGTGAATGTGTTCTCTTGCAAAATTTGAAGAATTGTGTGCTACAAAAGCCCAGCTTGGGCTTCAGCAAGCATCGGACTCTGTGAAAATATTAGAAAGAAAAACAACCTTGGCCTTAATGTCCATGAAATGGAGTTGTGTCTGTTAAGTCTAAGTAATCGTGTCATAGAATCTTCTGTTAGAAATACATGCCTGTGTTGAGTTTCCCATCGGTGGGCTGGAAATCGTGAGAGGGCACCAGCCGTGCCACTGAGGACGGAAACCAGGCCGGGCATTAAGCGAGAGTAGGTGTTTTAGGTACGTTCTAGGTGTCCTAGGAAGAGCTCATGCTGGAGGAGACAGTTTTCCCCTGTTTGTCCTCAGGAGCCCACCCGGCTGGGGCTGCTGGCTTTGCAGAGCGACTAGTGAAAGGTAACTGAGGAAGAGAGTTCAAGGTGTAGGGATTGTGTATTTAGAATGTGATTTTCCATTTCTGAGAAACCCGAGTGGGACATAGACATAGTAGCAAGTGTGATGATAATTTACTCTCCCGACTGAGTGGGTCTGCTGGGCCCGCAGGGAGACAGGGCTGCCGAGCTCCAGGTCTCCGGAATTTCTCAGACTCACCTGCAGGCTAGCAGAGTGCCTGCTGAATGACGAGCAAGCGTCTTGACCTCGATGATGAATATTCTGTGTGGCCTGTCCGTGTGGCCAAAGTCCCCAGGGGTGGCAAGAGCCAGCTTAGCTGTGCTGGAGTCGTGTTGCAGGACCTCGTCAGGGAGTCACGAAAGGACCCCCGTGCTAGTGAGGGAACCCAGAGTCTCCACCAGAGAAGGTGTATTTGTAACTGTGCCGTGTCTGTTCACAGCACGCTTGGTTCCTCATGCCCCTGAAGTCCCTCGGTACCCAGCATTCTGAAACTGCCGGGCAGCGTAGACACAACCCTGGCTTTCCTTGGTAGTGGAAGTGGCGAAGAGCCGAGGTCACTTTCCTCACTGCAAAAGCCCTGGGGGTCCTCTGGTCTGGAGGGAGCAGAGCTGCCACCACCCACCAGCCTTCTCACTCTGGCTGTTCAGACAGCCACGTCTCTTATCTGTCACCTTGGGACTGAGAAGTCTCAGAAATTCCCTCACGTGTGCTGCAGGCCATCCTTACTCACAGGACAGGGAGACTAGAGATGAAGAGTGTGGCCAGGCTCTCCCCAGCCTTCCTCTCTATCTCAGGGTGTGGAACGTGAGGAAGGAGAAATACTGAAGAAGGCAGGAAACCTTAGCCAGCCTCTGCACTTGTAAATCAGGAATTCTGAACGGCCATCCGGAAACGCGTGTCAGGACGGATCCCAGCTATTAAGCAGGGAACTCTAGCAACCTGGTCTGGACTGTACCCAGAGAGTTCTCCAATGTGTGTTAGTTCTCTCACAATCTGGCGTGGTCAGACATGTGGATGTTAGCCAGAGCTTAGATTTCTCTACAGAATAACTGCGTACTTTCTGCAGATCAAGTAAATCCGAGTTTGCCACACACAGGAACCGTTCACCCCACATCCTCACTGAGTGCCTGTGTGCCAGGCACCGTGCCAGCCTCGGTGGGCACTATGAATAAATCTGTCTCCATGACCAGAAGGTGCACAGGACTCGATCCCTATGACTGAGTCAAGCAGGTGCTGCCCACATTGTATTTTGCTGTAAGGGCCCCCAGGCTTTTCCACGCACCTCGCAGCCCCGGGCGCGGACTTTCCTACCCTGCCCGCCTACGGCTTTAGCTGATGTGTACAGCCCATCAGTGCCCCCTTCTTTCCCATGCCAGAGAAAACCCTGTTTGTAGTTCACCTGGACTTTTGAATGTGTCATTTCACTATCAATAAAAACAACTTCCTTTGATTTCTACTGTTTACACATAAAACCGGGCCGGTCTCCGTCTGTACCCTGAACACTGAATGGAACTGACTTGGGCCTCACGAGCTGTGTCTTGGCATTGCCTTTCGGAAGGTGACCAAGCTTCCGATGCCTGTCCTATGCATCTCTGAACGTGTCCCCATGGTTCTCCTGGCAGGAGAGCCGGGATGGAGCTTTCTCGCTGCCTGCCTGGCCTGCCTGCAGAAATGCCCCCCAAGCTGTGCGCTGGTTCCCCCAGCTTCTGTTCCCCACGTGCTCCCTTCAGGCCGTACAGTGCCCCCACCCCACCCCGAGGCAGACAGGAAGTGTCTAATCACGATTTTGTGGCCTGGGTTTTGTTGCATACCACAGATTGTCTATGTACCGCGTAGCGCACACCTCTCTTGGTGCTATCTC